CCCCCCCCCCGGCCCAAGGCGCACTTGGTGCGCTCCGCCCCCACAACCCCCCGCGCGGCGCGGCCTGTCCCCCTTTTCCCGCCCTGGAGGCCGAACCGTGAGGAGCGGCCTGGCCGGGCCCAGCGCTGCCGGTGAGTCCTCCCCTCGCGTCTCTCACCTTCTCCAAACCCTTCATCCTCTCTCCCTGTGCCTCCCTCAGCCTCGCTCGTGGTGTTCTGGGGGGTTCTTTGCTTCCCCCCGTGGCTGTGGGGGGGGGAGCCCCTCGTGGTGTCGGTGGTTCTGGGGGGTTCTGAAGGCCCGTGGGGCCCTTTTTTTCCCCCCCATCTCACTGTCCCCCAGAAACGAGGTGGTGATCCTGGGTTCCTGAGGGCTCCTGAGGGCAGGGAGATTTGGTTGGTCCCTCGTTTTCGCTCAGCCCCCTTCCCTCACGGCGGCGGGAAGGGTGGGAGTTGTTTGGGACCCTGATTCAATCTCTTTTTCCCCCAGTTATGAGTCTCAGAATGTGAGGTTGTGTGTTGTCTGTGTGGTGCCTTCCCAGTATCTGTCCCTTTCCCCCGCCCCAGATTCCTGAGGGACAAACCTTAAGGTGCCCTTGGCTCTTTAGGGTTACTTTTCCCCACTCTCAAGACCCGGGCAGTAGGGTCTCCTGTGCTCCTCACAATCTTTTGGGTCCTTTTCTTCTTCATTGGTCTGAGAAGGGGGCTGTGGGATCCCCATTTCCTTTGGGGTCTCTTCTCCCCTCGTACTCCAGGAAGGAAGGTTGTAGGGAGGCCCTTCATTGTCTCTGAGGTCCCTTTTCCCCTCCCAGGCCTAAGGAAGGGGGGATTTGGGGGTTTTCCCCTCTTTGTGGGATCCCTTTTCCCCTCTCAAGCTCTAGGTGGGTGGTTGCAAGAGCACCTTGTATAAGGGCTGGGTGGGCTGATGCTGGAGGTGCCCCTAAACCTCTCCAGCTTTTGGGAGGTTCCCTTTCTGTTGGGGTCCTGGTTTGGGGGGCTACCCCTGCTATATAGACCCCCACCCTTTCAAGTCTGGAGGGGTCAGTGCTTGTTCTGCCCTGGCAGGGAGGGGAGTTTAGGGGACCTCTTCTCTCCCCAGCAGCTCTGGGTGTCTCAGGGGTCTCCTCCCTATTCCTCATCTTGGCAAAGGTTTCTTGTCGAGTCACCTTCTGGGAAGGGAAACTGGAGCTGCTTCCCTGTCCTGGCGCAGGGGTGTGGGATTCCCAACCCCTTCGGTGTTCCCAACCCTTCTGTAACCTTGGCAGTGCTTCCGGCAGCCTGTCCTGCTCTTCCCTCTTCTTTTTGTTTTGTTTAACAGCTCGCTCGGGGAGGGATCTGTTTCAAAACCGTATTTGGGGAGTGGGCAGAGCCAGGGAGGAGCCTGGTGGTGCTCCCTGGGGGGTTGTGAGGGATTTACAGCCCGGGCTAAAGTTGCTGAGGCTGCTGCAGCCTGTCATTCCCTCCCCTGCCACCGGAATCACTGGAGTCAGCCTGGATTTTGAATTTGTTCTTTCACATCTAGATCACTGATTCTTTTTTTTGGAATTGATTGGAATCTGATGCTCCCAATCCTGTTGGACTCGGCGTGGAGAGAAAAATAACTTTGTTTGGCTGTCTGGCTGTAATTCTTCCTTCTCCTTTTCTAGGTGTGTCCTCTCTCTCCCTGACCTTGCAGGTATGCCTTTTCTTTTTCCCCCCTCTTCACCTAAACTGCTTGTTTTAAACTACTTTGCCTTTTCTGGTGAAGGTGACTTCTTGCCTGTCTTTCCCTCCTCCTTGTTTCCCATGTCCTTGATCATTCCTTCACTTGCAACCAGCAGGGTTGTCCCTTGGAGCAAAGAGTGGTGTTTTTGGGTGATCAGGGTTGTCATTTCCCTGGCTGAGGTCCATGTGGATCTTTGTGTTATGGCAAAGGGGCTGAAGGTGGTTTCTAACTCTGTGTCCTGCTTCTCAGGAGTTGGGGAAGAGTCAATTTAGGGAATTAAACCAGCAATACTACACAAGCTTTACTGTTTTCTCGTGCTTTACTTTGACTCTCTTGACTCCATGGTGCTGTTGGGAGGAGGGTGGCTTTGCTCCCAGACCCTCTGGTGTGAAACCAGCCTCACTTCTTTTAACTCTGAATCACCAAAAGCTAAAAACAGGAAAAGCAGGAGATGGGGCAGGGTTGAAGCCGTTGCTGTAGAGCAGCATCATCTAACTCATGCCTCAATTCCAAGCTGGAACGACTCCTGCTTTTGTGCAGGACTGCAGCAGGAGCAGGTTAGGGAAGTGGAGAAGCATTTCACTGGGAAGATGTGTTCAGTGCAGGTGTCTTGAGTGTGGCAAAGCTCAGATGCTGGTCTGAGGCTGTAGAAGAGATAGGCTGGACCTTCTTTCTCTTCCTACTCAGTCTCTTGACATCAAATGGGCCCTTTCTGGGTTTTCTGGCTTCTTTTTTTTTTTCCTGGCTGTTGCTGGGATGAATGCTGAGGAGCTTCTGGTGTGACACAACAGGACAGGGGGACTGAATAAATAAAACCGTGGTGACCAGGTCACCATCAGCTATGCCAAGGCATGTAAGCAGATCTGCAGTTGGAGGATGGGAACAGAAGCTCCTGGTGTGAGAACCTGTCAGGGCTGGGGGAAGGGCAGCTGGTGATGGCCTCATTGCTGCCCAGACCTGCAGAAATCAGGTCTTCCCTGCCTAACATTTTGGGGCTGCATCTAGGGGGTGTTTGGGGAGCGTCAAACTGTCCTGTGTCTGTCACCCCCTTGCCCCCCAGTGCCACCTCTGCCCATTCTTGATGCCTTCTTTGAAGAAAGGAGTTAAACCACGACTGTAATCTTACCCTCTTGGTCATGGCTTGCAGGAAGCAGCTGTCACATCCCTCCACAAATCAGTGATGGGTGAGATTTGCTGCTCCTGCTCATCTAAAGATACTTTTTGGAAGTGTTTTCAAGCCACGTTGAACTGTTAACAACAATTTCTGGGATAGCTGCTTTCAAATGATGGAGCTGCCTGAGTTTCCATGCCGTGTTGGGTGCTGACAGGCCAGCCTTGGCACACAGCTGAGATTCAAATCATGCTTCACTTCCCCCTGCAAGGTACATTGTGCAGGGCCTGATGGAATTTAGGTCTCTGGGAAGCTCTGACAAACTGATTTATAACCTGGCTCCTCCCCCCAAAAATGCATGTGTTACTTTCTCATGGGCAGAAGAGGGAGAAGCTTTTGTGAAACCAACACATGGAGTTGACTTAACTTCTTTTTTTTGGCTGCAGCCTTAGGGTGATGTGGTGTACTCTTTTGTTTTACAGACTTTAAAAAAGATAAATAGCTAGGCTTCATGGGCTAATGCAGCCAAACAGCTGAAGGCCAGGGCTTATTTTGGATTTACAGAACAACAATAGAGTCTTTCCATTGCCTATTTCTAACTTGATGCATTTCCCACAGCACAGATTTGTTCTGGCTTGAAACATGTGGTGACCAGACAGCCTCAAGCCCAAAGCTCTGAAGCTACAATAAATGTAGCTACAATTAAAAATCCTTTCAGGGATTTGTAAACTCTCTTTAGTAATGTTTGCCTTTTCCTGGGCCTTTGTAAAACACCCAGTGCGTTGTCTGCACTACCCCTGGAAAAGCAAAATTCCAGATCCCATCTGTGGTATGTGGAGTAAGAGACATATTTCAACCCCACTCAGATTTGTGGGGGGTTTTAAAGCACTTTCTATGAAGTTTGCTGCCTCTGTCTCCCAGTCTCAATTTATCTTGATGCTAAAAATAAAATAGCTGCTTCACTTCTCAGAAATGTTACTGGGATGAATGTGGTTTGAGGAAGCTGCTGGCTTGGTGCCAAGTATGTGCAGACTTGGGGGGGGAGGCTTTCTAATGCAGCTCTTATCTAGTTCCTGTGCTTTGATTTCTGTGGCAGTTGAGAGTGTTCATGAACTTGCAGCTTGTTCTTTTTAATGGTAAAACTTCCCATTTGAGGAGGGAAAGGAGAGTAGTTTTGAAAGTATGGAAACCAACCTCACACAGGTTGTGTGGGTTGGTCCCATGGTAGATCTGAGCTGCCTCAGCCTGTCCAAGTCTGTTTAAATTTCTCCCCAAAACTTTTGAAGAGCTGGATTTGTCCCTTGCCTTTTCCTTACTTGGAAGACTTTGAAGCTGGAGTGTGAACTGGTGTCTTGTCTGGAGTAAATGGGTAAGCTGGGAGAACTGGTAGTGCTCTGGTGTTACTGGTCTGCAGCTTGCATCTCTCATCAGTCTGTCTGTACCAGCTCAGTTGCTGTAATTAAAAATCCTTGTCTATCCCCTTTTCCCAGGTCCCTCAGGGAAAACTTATGAAGACAGAGTAGAAATTACTTTTTTTCCCCCATTTTTGTGTTTGTAAACTTCACTGAAAACCTGGTATTTTAATCATAACCTGAGGCTTGGCTCATTGTGGAGACAAATAGGTGTGAGTATCTTGGATTTGATTTTGAAAAATGGTAA